CAACTTTAAATCAAATCTACAAAAGAATATCTGAAGAAGAGAAGGTGACTGTAAAGCTCAGTGAACTGAAGCAACATTTTACAGAACAGTGGCCCAAAATTCCTCCACAATGCTGATGATATAGAAAACGATCAGTACAACTTCTTGCTACTGAGGGTTGATCTAAAAGCTGCTGAGTCATGGTGGGATGTACAAACTTTTCACAGGAGTACATGCAGTCCTATAAAGGTGTTCATTGCACATGACTACCTTATCTTTCGTCACATCTAAGTTTCTTCAAAATGAACAAATGTGCTTTTAAAACCTACACAGCACATTTGAAACATTTAATGTAAATAATTACACATAATTGATTTCTTGCCGATCTCATCAGCATCATTCTGAAACAAATCACAAAGACCTAATCACACACTCCTGCTCCCACGCACAGACCCCTGAGGCCAAGTTTCATCATTCAACTGTAAATGCAACACAACCAAATATACGAGCTTTTAGATTGCTGCTTCCCTCACTTTAATGTTACTTAATGTACTAACACAGACACATATAAAAGCTTTAGACTGTAATGGGCTTCAGTGTAATTTAGTTTTATTATGCACCTATTGTGCGCAGTCAACCATCGTTCCCTAACACGCGTCCCTCTGCGTGCCAGGGGTTCAGGTGTTTGCTGCTCCCCTCTGACTGAGAAACATGAGCAGACAAGCAGACAGTCACCCATCAACACACCCAGACCCGTACGCAGGGGACAAGGGACGATTTAGAAACAGTCGCAGCGTTGTAATATTGCATAGAGACTGTACAAGTTATCACATGCAGCTGCCAATTAACTCCTGGCCGGTGGCGGTTTATCTGCAGCACAGACTAATGAACTGCTTGGTATTTTCATACAGAGAGCGCAGAGATAAACGAAATTAAATGATGGGATGTTTCTAGGAGTTTGAGGCAGATGTGTTGACGTGTTTGTTTTTTGTGAATCTTTGGTGGACCCAAAGTCCAGATTTTTTTCTTTAAAAGAGATTTAAACCTGTTTGCAGCCCTTGGATTTGAAGCACGCCTACTTTATTATTATTGTTACATTATTAATGACAAATTGGCATAAAGCTTGTGTGTTTAATCAAAATTTAAAAGGCCTTGTCCGTGTTTCATATTGAGAAAATACTGCTCATTTCAACTCGGGGCCCTCCTCTTCTCTTTTGCTCTGCTGAATCTGTAAGGTTGCCTCGTGCAGCACTTTTCCCCAGAGAGCAGATAAGACACCTGTCGAACATTTCTGCTTCCATTTGCTGTCTACAGCTACTAGAGCTCACAACCCCTGTCTGCGTCTACACAGCATGGACATCAAACTCTTTTCCCTTGGATTGTGTGCCCTTTTCTGCATCTTCAGACCTCTCTCGGCACAATCTACATGCAAGCTGAAGGCCAAGTTCAACCTGGGCGGCTATAAGGATGTAGAAAAGAAGACTGTCGTGGTTGGGGGAATGTTTCCTGTTCACAAGCGCGTTGCTTCCAACAAGGGCAACACTTCGAGTGTGCCTCTCTCCTCAGGCTGTGTGGGGTGAGTCGGGCATGTTTATGTCTTTTTTCATCATCGTTGCTATGCTGGGTTAGTCTTCTAGCTTAGGGCGCTGGTATTAAACAAACTAAAATTAAACTTGAAAACTTATTTAGGATCTTAAATGAATAAAGAAATTTTATTAAAGTATCCTAATTTTAGTACTTTCCTACCTGACAGTTTACTCCTGGGAGTCTTGGCTTCATAATTTTATAACAGAATCAAGACGGAGTAGTGTAACACCTCTGGGGCCAATTAATTACAGCAGGCCATATTATTATGGAGGCAGGCCTACAAAGTGTAGCACACAACAATAATCAACAAATTTATTAAGGGCTAGTTTAAATTATAATGTCACAAGACTAAAATGGATTGCAATTAGTTGGTTTTCATGTATTGTCATTTTCTGCATACACTGAATACCTGTATTAACTGAAAGAAAGGTTCTTTCTTGCACTACTGTTTGTACTGGCTGATCTTTATTAATCTGCTGTTCCTTCGTCACTTATCATCCTGTAGGTTTAACTTTCGTACCTTCCGCTGGGCACAGACCATGTTGTTTGCTATCAAGGAAATTAATGCAAGGGACGACCTGCTTCCCAAAACTGACCTGGGTTACGTCATCTACGACTCCTGCTTCACCATCTCCAAGGCTGTGGAGGGCACCCTGACCTACCTGACAGGCCAAGACGAAGCTGTACCCAACTACCGCTGTGGCGATGGAGCGCCGCTGGCTGCTCTAGTGGGAGCCGGGGGCTCGGATCTGTCCATCGCGACTGCCAGGATCCTGGGACTTTATCATTTTCCGCAGGTAAGCTTGACACTCGTGTCAAAAAATTTGATAAAGTTAAGGAAAATGAACAAAGATAAAGTTCAGGCAAAAAGCAACAGTGTGTTCGTACTCTTGTCTTTAGGTCAGTTATTGTTCGACATGCTCTGCTCTGAAAAGTAAGTTCCAGTTCCCCACCTTCTTAAGGACCATTCCCAATGACGAGCACCAGTCTACGGCTATGGCCAAGATGGTGCTACACTTTGGTTGGACTTGGGTGGGCAGCATAGCTGCTGATGATGATTACGGCAAGTACGGCATCAAAGACTTCAAGGACCAGGTTGAGCAAGCTGGCGTCTGCATCTCCTTCTCTGAGACCTTGCCCAAGGTAGACAGATTTCAGTCAGTTTCGCCAGTCAATCTTTATTTCACACAGGGGTTTCATTTCTGCTGAAAAAATTTGTACTCTGATCTTTGGACTTTAGGTGCATTCCCCAGAGGCCATCCAGCGCATTGTTCAAACTGTAATTGACTCCACAGCCAAAATCATTGTGGTCTTTTCATCTGACGTGGACCTCAGTCCTCTCATCAGTGAGCTGCTCCGCAACAATGTGACCAACCGTACCTGGATCGCCAGCGAGGCCTGGATTACCTCCGCTCTCATCAGCCAGCCACCTGGGGTGAGCAAACAGCTGACTGATGACCAAAAGAAATCCAGAAGGTTTAAACCAGTCTGGACCAAATTTTAATGTTTGAGCTTAGCTTGATTATTTGAATGCTTCTATCCAGGTGAGCTCAATCCTTGCCGGCACCCTGGGTTTTGGGGTGAAGAGGGCTGACATCCCCGGTCTTCAGCATCATCTACTGAATCTGGACCCCTATGCAGACTTGCTCACTGAGGAATTCTGGGAGACGGTGTGTTTGTTAACCTTAGGAACTTGCAAACATCTACATGGTAGAATCAGTATTGCAATGATAATTAAACTGTGAATGATGAACCTTCAGTGAAAACACTGACAATTAAACAGATCCCCCACAAAATAACAATTTTGTGATTTTACTTTTGCCTTGCAGCTGTTTAACTGCACGTTGGACTACAGCAAAGCTATGAGAATGGCAAAACAGAGGGCCACGTACGTGAACGGCACACTGTCCAGGACAGTGACAGGATTGCCTGATGGGCTGTGTACCGGGCAGGAGTCTGTGGCACAACTCAACAACACGTACTCTGACATCTCTCAGTTACGAATCACTTACAGGTCAGCTCACAATGCCACTGCTCAAAAAACAAACAACCAAAAACAGCAACTGATATATAACCTTAACCCAGACAATTAAATGTGCTACTGTTGCAGCATACACTGAGAAAACTTTGTTGCTGTTGTCGCACAGTGCTCCTGAAAGCAATTTATAGTTATCTATTTTAGTTCTGTGTGTAAAGCCTCAGTAGCAGTGAGCCCTGTGTGAATCATTCACTCAGTGCAGTGTGTGCAGCTTTCCTGTGAACTGTATCTACCACAGAAAATAGCTCCAAAGTAAGCAAGGTACTAACTCTGAAAAGGCACATTTGTCCTTTTGTTGTCTCGTTGTAGCAGGGTGGTAATGTTTATAATAATAAGGAAACTGTTTCACACAGCGTGTACAAAGCTGTGTATGCTGTAGCCAACGCCTTGCACAACCTGGAGCACTGTGAACCCGGAAAAGGGCCGTTTGTCGGGAAAACCTGTGCTGACATCAACAACTTTGAGCCGTGGCAGGTAAACGTGTGCAATAATGAGGTCACGTGTGTGCGTATTGTACTTTTGCTACTTAAACCTCAATTTTTCTCCTCCTTAGCTGATGTATTACGTGAAGAATGTGCGTTTCAAAATGCCAAACACAGGGGAGGAGATCTTCTTTAACGACGGAGATGTGGACGGCTTCTATGACATCATCAACTGGCAGGTCAATAATAATGGGGAGATATCTTATGTCACTGTGGGGAACTACAACGGCTCTGCAGCTCCAGAGAACAGGATGACCATAATGAACGACTCCATCGTGTGGAACAATGACATGTTGGAGGTCAGCGGTATATCGATAAAGAAGAAGTTAGCATATGCTCCTTTTAGATTATGATTCGGTAGCTCATGTATTTCTGTTGCTATGTGTGAAAGCCTCCTCGGTCAGTGTGCAGTGAGAACTGTCAGCCGGGCACCAGGAAGGGGATTCGACAGGGAGAGCCGGTCTGCTGCTTTGACTGCATTCCCTGTGCTGACGGAGAGATCAGCAACACAACTGGTCAGTAAACAACAGGACCACATTTCTTAAATGGTACATGGGCTCTTTCTTCTACTCTACTTGAGTACTCAAAGCACTTTGTACAACTTGCCTCATTCACACATTCATACTTTAAGTGCTTCCTATCTAACATTCACATTTAGAAATACACAGAATTACACTGCGTGTTACAGTCACTGTTGATAATTTAAAAACTCAAGAATTTTGAAATAGACCCAACACCATTAGCACATGTAGATTATGGTAAACATGGTCCTGCCGCCCTCGTATTACACTTGGCCTCCCTTTGTCACAGATGCCCGTGAATGCATCCTGTGCACTGGCGATTTCTGGTCCAATGCGGCTCATGACGCCTGTGTACCAAAACTCATTGAGTTCCTGGCCTTTGGAGAACCACTGGGAATTACTCTTATTGCCATTTCTGCCTTTGGAGCTTTAGTCACCATCGCTGTCGGGGTGAGAAAAGCCAAGCACAAAATTATACCTGAGAGAAGCTCCGATGTGGAGAGGAAACAAGCAAAAAAAAAAAAGTTAAACTTCTTATTTTTTTCTCCCAGGTATTGTTTATTATGCACATTGGCACCCCTCTGGTGAAAGCCAACGATACACTGTTGAGTTTTTCACTGCTCTTCTCTCTGGTGGTGACCTTCCTCTGCTCCATCGTCTTCCTCGGAGAGCCACAACACTGGAGCTGCATGACCAGTCAAGTAGCCTTGGCTCTAGGATTCGCCCTCTGCCTTTCCTCCATAATTGGTTGGTGACCAATTGAAATCATTTTTTCCATTTTTTTTTTATAGCTTACTTAACCTTTTTATGTGCCTTGATCCAGACAAAATAAAATCACTGAGATTTTCTCTATAAGGGGCAAAAAGGCAACTTTTTTCTTTCAGGTAAGGCAGCAGTATTGATGCTGAGAGCCCAGGTGCTGAAAGCTGCCCGAGCCCGAGCAAAAGCTGCTGCCAAAGCTGCAAAAGCTGCTGCAAGAGCAGCTGCTGAAGCAGCGGCGAATGATGGCAGTCCTGATGTCATCGTAACCAACACTCTCCACAATGACACCAGTGCCCCTCCTATCCCTGAGGTCGACCGTCTCACCCGTGCTCACCAGAGGGCAATAGCTGCTGTAGCTACATTAATACAGGTAAACATAAATAATTCATCAGTGGGGGTAAACCTTAATCAGCTGTAAAATACGACATCTGTCCCTGACCTCTAAATGTTCGTAACATAAAACCATGTGGAAATATAGCGGACATTAACATCCTTCTTCCCAGGCTATAGCGTGCACAGTGTGGCTCATTGTCCTACCTCCACAACCCGTCAAGAACACCTCTGGTCAGAATATAAAGATCATTCTCGAGTGCGATCAAGGCTCTGTGGTTTTCATCTGTTGCATCTTTGCTTATGACATCCTGCTGGCTCTGCTGGCCTTTATCTTTGCCTTCATAGCTCGCAAACTGGAGGACTACGTCAGGTAGGTCACACAAGGAAAGTTAAGCATTAGCAATGCACACCCTAATTTTTCTTGTGGGGGAAATATTTCATAACACACAATGTCATTTATATATTCATCACATTAATTGTGTTCTCTTTTTAAACACTTTCACAGTGAGGCAAAATGTCTTACCTTCAGCATGCTGGTCTTCTTCATCGTGTGGATCTCTTTTGTCCCGGCTTACCTCAGCACCCGTGGCAAGTTCATGGTTGCCGTTCAGATTTTTGCCATCCTGGCTTCCAGCTTTGGCCTGCTAACCTGCATCTTCTTGCCTAAGTGCTACATCCTTTTGATCAAACCTGATCGCAATAAGGAGGAGCTGATGAAGCCCCGACCCAAACCTAAAGATGGAACCTCAACTGGGACGTCAGCGTCTCTCGCTACGACTGCAACTGAGGCTACAATTGCAACCACTGCTATCGATGACTAGTGGCGAAGTAATAACTAAAGTTAGCCACAAATGTAAAAATAATGTAGACAGAAGTTGTGCCACTGACTCAATGAACAGCTGTTGCTGCTAATTAGGCTTTCTAGTCATGTTGATCACATCATCATGCTTGTTCTATAATTAATGGGCAAAATATTTTATTCTGAAAAAGATATATATATTTCTTTTGGATCCACAAGTATTCATGCAAAATTATGTACGTGTCTAAATACCTAAATAGACTGAATGTGTGTACCTTCACATGCATTTCAATAAGTGATATATTAGATAGACCAAAAACAGCTATTTTGTAGATATAATAACAAGTTCAGGCTGTTACTGTAAAACCTCTTTGAATACCATTTTCAAACACTTTGCAATTTTTAAAAAGGAAATGCATACAAATAGCTTCGTGTAAAAAACACAGAAATGCATGTATAGTGCACCTCTGCTGGATAATTTTATTACTCAATAATATAATAAATGTTATTATCATTACAATTATCATTATGTCATTAGAATTATCATTTTTCTCCTTAAAGAGAAACATTATTATTATTTTTGTAGATTTTTTTTTTAATATATTATGCTAGATAACTTTAATAAAAAGTGGATCAGATGCCTTGGAGTTGGCCTCCCGTGTTGTCTTCCGCAGTACAAATGAGTTTGTGATGAATGTTACTGGCGCACTATCAGCCTTGCATAGTGCCAAGTACCTCAGTATCCATGTGTGGGGCACTGAGTCATACACTTTGTTGAAGTCAATCCAAGCAGTGCTTAGGTTGGTTTGCCTGGTGTACTGCTCTATCAACCAGGAGCTGGTGCAATAACCCTCTCACGTTATTTCTAATGCCTTTCTGAGTTGTGCTCATTGTAGCTCTCTTCACGACAGCACAGACACAGGTCGGTTCTTTCAAACGGGCGTTTATTACTCGGGCTTTCTCGCCTCAGCTTCACCATCGCCAATACGCCATGAGAACTGGTCACGAGTGAACATTACAAACCAATTAGCAACTTTACAGTACACATATCAAGTCCAAACACAAATAAAAACATTTCTCAAATGACAAATACCTCGTTGACTGCTTGTCCTGAAAAGAGGTCCTTAAGTCCTTGTGTTGCTTTTACTTTTAGTAAACTTTTAGCTCAACACGCTTCATGAGAGACATCTGCTCCCTCGCAGTCCATGAAAAGTCTCTTGTACTCTCGTTAAGGGTATTCTCACGAGACACTAGCTCTTACACTTTACACATGCAAATTTCAAATAAAGACATCAGTGTTGTGGAGAGGCAGGTAAATGCCTGGTAGTTTGATGCCATTGTGCCCTTGTGGGGCTCTTTCATGATTAGGATTGTTTTGCCATTCAGTGTCATGGTCCTCCAGTGCTGGCTCACCCTATTCTCTCTCTATCCCTCCACTCTTCATCTTCTATCTCTGTGTATAGCTGTGCGTGTGTGTGTCCAGCACACCTGTGCTGATAAACTCACCTGTTGAAAATCCTGTGATCACCTGGTCACTACTTAGGAGTCTTGTTGGCTACTCTTGCCTCAGTCTGTGCTGTGCTTTTCTTAGATTTCCACCTTACCTGTTCTGTTCCCCTCTGTGCAGGACTCGGGGATCCTTCCCAAGTGAGATAGAGTTTTTCCTGTGAAGACATATTCTGTTAATTTACCTGAACTGGAGCCCTGAAACCCTCTGACTGCTTATCCATCTTCATCCATTGTCATTCACAGTAAATAAATGCACTGAACTTAACCTCCTGAGCTCCTTTATGAGTCCACCAGTTTATATCTGTTATGACAGTCTAGATAAGTACCTGCTGTTAGCAGCCCTGTTATTTTTGCTGCCAGGCAATCATGGAGTCCTGTTCTTCCTTCAGCCAGTCTGTTCACTGAAGTGCAGAAGGCTGTTATTAGAGACAGGTCCTATATGAAAAAGAGGTACAACAAAAAGGTTATAACTGAGGCTCTAGAAACTGCCAAACAAAGCCTCACGGCTCTGACCACTAGGCTGAAGAGATATACCAGAGAAGCCAAGAGAACAAATGGCCTGTTCTCCAAAGATTCATCCAGAGTATTTGCTTAGCTACAAGGGAATAATAGCACAAGGACAGACCCATACACACACATCTGTGAGAGTGAGGTATTACACAACACCAAGGCCAAGTGGCTGGTAGATACAGCAACCTCACAGAGCGAGAGCCAGCCAACATCTCAAAGGCAGACAGACGTCAAATAACAAGTCTTCAGGATGAAGAGCTGGACAGCACCAGAGCCTGCCATGATCCATTAGTAAAGACAACACTGTAGGCCAAATCCAAGGGAGTTGCATAAGTTACCATCAAATGCAGAATATACGAAAGTGATGCACTGTCCCCGCTGTTCTTCAGGAAAAGTTCTCCAGGCTTCTTAGGACATTCAAAGCTTTTCTTTGGGTGTTGGGTGCCTTTTGTTTCGTAGATGATCCCACACTCCATTGATAATATTGAGATCTGGGATTTGGGGATGTCAATCCAAGTTTGATAGTGTTAAATTTTTTTAATTGTGTGTTTTTTGATATATGTATGCTTTTGCTGCATCGGGCATGTGTTGGTGTCATGCTGAAAAATTAAGCTTTTGCCAGTCGGATACTTTCCAGATGGTTTTGCATGGTGGATCAAAATTTAATGGTATTTTTCTGTGTAATTTCATGAGCTTTGCCAAGGTCTCCAACACCACTGGGTAAAATGCAGCTGCCCTTCCACTGAGACCATTTCTGATCAGGTTTCAGTGAACAGATCAACAGAAGATCCATCTGTATCAGGTCTTTTTTTGGATTCTCCTCCATTCTTTTAAGGACAAGAGTTTCTCACACTGTTTAACTGCACTTCTTCTTTTGTCCTCCACTTAGGACACACCACACCTTTAAAATGTAAATGGGGGGGTATTATACCAATGATGCTAATATGATATACTCCACAGTAGAATTCATGGTTCCATGTGAGATGAGCATTTGTGTTCCTTTCGGTCAGCATTGGTTTTCTCCTTGAACTCTCCCATGGATGCCATTTTTGCCCAGTGTCTTTCTTATTGTTGAATCATGAAACCGTAACTGAGACGAGTGACACCTGCAATTCTTAGTCCCTTTTCATACAGGACAAAGTAGGTTTGGATAAATTTTTTTTTTTCAAAAGTGCATTTTACATTTACCCGGGTTATCTTTGTCTAATATTAAAATTTGTTTGATCTGAAACATGTAAGTGGGACAAATACACAAAGCACTAGTAGACTAAAGGAGAAAACAGGTCAAGAAACACTTTTTCACACCACTGCAGATCTCTTAGCTGGCTAGAACAATCCAGCAGAGGGCGCTGATGTAAGATTTTCTTTTCTTCTTCTTTTTAATCTGCACGTTGGTTGGATATGCACTAAATTGGCCACAACTCTCACTCTGATTTAAGACATTACATTTCTTTGATGAAAGGCTCCAATTTGATATCAATATAGGAAAAAAACATACTGCATCAATATATATGAAGTGATGAAAGATTAAAAAGATATGATGAATTTTTCAGACTACTTTTATGAGATGGAGAGATATTATGATGGATTGCATGTGATGGCCTCTTACTGCTGAAGAGACAAAAGGAAGCACAGAGACAGCAGAGCGCATCATGATGTCATGTGTCTGTGTGTGTTTGCTGCTATAATGCTTTGATAATGTCTGTGTTACAAAAGATGAAAAAGCTATATTTAGTGTTGCTTTATGCCTCTTTCACCATCATCACCATCATCATCATCATCACTCATCACTGCTATTTTTTTCTGCATGTCAGCCTATGTGCTGATCTGTGTGTGTGTGTGGGGGGGACGGTGAACTGTGTCCAATCAAAGCTATCGGTGCGGACGGTAATAAATTCTCCTGGTGACAGAGAGGTGAAGGAAGGAATGTTTATAAGTTACTGTCAGCTGACGACAATGAACAGAAACACTGGTGCTAAACTGAGACGTGTGCACGTGCATCACTGCATATATATGTGTGTTAATCTTACTTTGTTTCTGAGCGTGCGTCCGTGCTTGTTTTCAGTTATCTGTAGGCTGTCAGAACAGTTTAAATCATTACAGTCTGTTGTTTTAATAAATGTTAATTTTCAACACCTGTCTGCTATAAATACAAGCGTTTAAATGCCATCAAACTGATGGCTTATAGCATTTGTATTTCTTCACAAGTGTAAAATCCAGTGTTTAGCTAGTCTCCATCCATATAAAATCTAATTAATATGAAATTCAATAAGTTAAAAATCTAAATACTCATAATGGTGGAAGTTGGGAAATTCCTGTGTTGCAACAGCAAAAGCATGAAAATGACTGATTGATCGAGACGGTGGGACTGTTTTTTGTTCTGTGGCTCTGATTAGTTATCAGTTACCATCATGTTCATGCAAGAGTTATGGAAGGGTATGCTCTAATAAAGACAAAGAGAGGAATTTAGATCGGGGCTTGCCAGAATCTGTCTACACCTTTTAAACTGCCAGCAGGAACTCAAAATTTAACAGCACATGACATGGAAACAGGAATTTGTGGAGGTAAGTGTCTTAGATTACAGTGATGTACCACGGAGATAGACTTACACAAGATTTCCAGAATTGCTTACTTGGTTATCTTTGTTAACAGGCTGTCTGTGTAGGTTCTCAGTAAACGTGCTCTCTGACCTTGAGGTCAAGGTCACTGAAATTCAAACTCTTCTGAGATTTTTAAATGATGGTGTCAACTGGAAAATCCTAGAGGATTTTCAGAACCTGACCTTTGGCCTTGAGGTCAAGGTCACCAAAGTTCAAACTCATGCAAGAGTTTTGGTAGATGCACCTAAATGGCAAGGTAGGATATATCACAGGGCAGGGACTGGAAACTCAGAAACTGAGAGGAAAGGGCATAATACCAAATGCCAAGATGAATAGAACCGAATATTGCTGAATTTGAAATGTTTTTTCTTCTGGCTTACTTGTTGTTTCCTGAACAGAGGCAGCCGAAGGCTACATGACTGGCAGGCGAGAATATGAGAGCGCTGGAGAGTAGGCAGACAGGTGGAAAACAGGTAAGTCATTTCCTTAGCTGGGAATAGGAGAAACAGATTGGTGTAGACTGACTCAGGTAAAATCCAGGTAAACCGATTTTCAGATTGGGGTCCAAGCAGACAACTAGGAAGGAGAACAACACACGATACCATAGAAGAAAAGCCAAAAACACAGGTAAAAAGGAAGGCCTGATTACCATGGTAACGACAAGAACAGCCTAGCAGAGACAGCTACACCGTCCAGCCTTTAAATACCAGGAACCAGGAGCCCATGCATAGGCCAGTACAGCAGAGCCCGCCCAATAATTCCACCTGAAGCTTCGAAGTAAAGAGTTAGAGGTGGAGAGAAAAAGAGGAAGAAGACCCAAACTCTATGTTGCTGGGACCATAACAGCATACGAATTATT